GGGTGCTGTGTGTACATTAATGAGGAAAAAAAATTAACTTAAATGATTTTAGCAAATGGCTGCAATATAACAAAGAGTGAAAAATTTAAGGGGGTCTGAATACTTTCCGTACCCACTGTATATATATATATACACACACACACACACACACAAGGTTCTGCAGCAAATTATCTGTTCTGCATTAATACAAATACTTCCCATTTAATTGTGTAATTGATGTAAAAAGCAATGAAACATATGGCCTTTTAAACAGAGACTAGAAGAAGAATCTGGGTGTATGTGAGCTGGATTCGGGAAAGAAATGTGGTCTTCTGTTCCTCTTTGAATCACTACAGCCAATCAAAGGGAGCTCTACAATGCCTGTGTCATTTGTTTCAGGCTCATTAATCAACAGACAAATAGCAGTAATTAGTCCAATAATTAATTTGCCATCACCAATTATTTCTCTCCTCATTGTGTCATCAAGATATGGCCCAGATGATTACAATGGGAGCTCTTTTTTCTCCACATGGCTTTTTTCCCCTTTCCTGTTTATCTTTTAAATATCGTGACTTATGCTTTGAGATATTGGCTATCGTAGTGAAAATCTCATTTTATTTGCATGTACTGTGATATGTCTAATCATTGTGTTCCGTGTCCAATCACAGTATGTGTTTGTTTTCTTGCAGGGAACAATGAATCCGTTCTGTGCACTGTGGGACAGCTCTATTATGTAAGTGAAAGTCAGTTTTATGTGTCCAAGATTGTGTTCTGATTTGTGAAAATGAGCCTTTAATATAATAACTTAATGGCCAATAATAAATTGTGGTGCTTGTTGAAATATCCAGCCATTGTATCCATGGAAACGTGTTTCCACTGCCATCGAGGTGAAACAGTGGTTGACATTAGCAGTAATATTGATTGTGTTATTCTCAGAGAATACATTTGATAGAAAAATATTTTTGAACACTTGTGGTGCTGTCAGACTCCTCTTATCTTTTCACTCTAAAGTCAACATGAAATCAGAACTGACCAGGTTTATTTTATTAATGCCTGTCATTGGTCTTATTAAACATAATTCAAGAAAAAAAAATGTGTTTGTAATCTTGAATCAAATTGATATAACTTGTTTCTAATGCTAAGCAATAAAACTAAAACTGTTGATATTTCTCACTATTTTTCAGCCTTTTTCAATGTAATAATATATCTTAACATTTAACATTTATTGATATTTTTTCATAGAATGTACCGTTCCACCTAGAATTGTGGCTATTATGAAATTTTATTTGATGTTGATTATGGGGAAACTGATCTTGTATTATTGAGAAATACACAAAGTTACTCTGGAAGCATAAGTATCCAGATGTTATTCTGAGGAAACTGTCTCTCAGAATAGATCAAGGACCAGTTTACCTTAACACAACCTTTAGCTTCTACAGGAAACAGAACTGCAGTGTGAGATAGTCACTTCCACCAGTGCCCTTTAAGAGACTGTTTGAGAATAATTACTCCAAGTGGATTGGTCTCTCTAAGCGAGATCCCAATTTCGTCGGACCAGTTTAGTGACGTCGAGAGTGACCGACTGAAAGGGAACAGAACTGCAGTGTGAGATAGTCACTTCCACCAGTGCCCTTTAAGAGACTGTTTGAGAATAATTACTCCAGTGTCACTAAAGAATGAGTAAAAGATGAAACGGACAAATCCCCAACCACCACAAGGCATTACAGCCGGCCCAGCCGCAATCATTTTTATAGCTGGAGAAAATTATATGAGGGGTAACATTATGATGCTATAAACCTTATTTTCCCACTTTTTGAAGTGCTTTTGGAAGAAGTACTGTATACACACTACCATTCAGAAGTTTAGTTTTTTATTTAAAGAAATTATTTAGTAAGGATACATTAAGTTGATCAAAAGTTACAGTAAATGTTGCAAATGATTTATATTTCAAATAAATTCTGTACTTTTGACCTTTGTATTCATTAAATTATCCTAAAAAAAAAAAAGTCACGGTTTCCACAAAAAGGTTAAGCACTGTTTTCAATATTGATAGTAATAAGAAATGTTTCCTTAGCAGCAAATCCGCATATTAGAATGATTTCTGAAAGATTATGTGACACTGAAGAGTAACGAGTAATTTTACTCTATTTTTGATCAAATAAATGCAGTCTTGGTGAGTATAAGAGACTTCTTTCAAAAATATATTAAAAACAATCTTACTGACCTCTTGGATGGTAGTGTACCTGTTGAACCAAAGAAACAAATTTGATACACGACACAGGAAGTAGAAACAGTGGTGGCCCAATATTTAATACTTTGTTCTTGAGATTTTGCCATTCTGAAGTGGTATTCTTATTTAAAGTGACATACAGTACATTTTCTACATGGAAGATCCCCTAAGGCATAGTTGTGATGGTTCATGGATCGATTCTTGCTAGCATTAAACCTAAAATCTTTGGGCTCAGGTCTTTAACCGCTAAATTACTATGACCAGAGCAGCTTCTCTGGCAGTATCATCTCTTTGTCTAGAACAAATGTTGTGTGATGGATTTTGTGGTGGATCTAATATTCTCTATTGTCACTCGTGATTGTGACTATAGCTCGTAGACCCTCTTTAGAGACATTTCGTCTTGTCTTTGCTTTTCATCTGGTCCATTTGGATTTGGCAGCCTTTTCTCCTTTGTTCCCTTAGCGTGCAATTAATAAAGCACATATTTCTTTTGGCCAGGCTGTGCAGAGACAGGTTCTGTTGAAGGGATGTTTTCTAGAAATGGGAGTCAGGTTTGGCCACACAGAGATGTCTGTAGTGCTAACAAGTTTTATTTAAATTAGTAATTAGTACTGTGTGTACCATGTCATGCTGTTATTTTTCCTTTGTCATTTTCATGTAGAATTATTACATATTTTATTTCCATACAAGATTCTTTCTTAGTGTTCAGTGGCTGTCAAGTTTAGAAAAGCATTAAAGAAATACCATAAAAGTAATTATGATCTGAGTAGTTTAAGGTATAGTTCACCCCAAAAATGAAAATGTGTCATCATTTACATTTACCTGAACCTGAACCACATTTACATGCCCTCATTTTGTTCTTTGTACCACGGACTACTTTACCTTACTGCTATTTTATTTTATATTTTATTTTATTTTATTTTATTTT